TGAAGAGCTAAAGGGACATAAAACTATGGCCTCATTAGCAAAAAACCCTTTATGATAGGCTGTAGGTGTCTGCCTCAGCGTCAGCCCACCAAGAGCTACACTCTACAGCAGTTTACAGTTACACCCAAGCAACAGAAGGTGTTGGAGAAAAGGAGCAGGGCCTTGTACCGAAGCCTGAGTCACCCTGCCTTGAGTGCTTATAGCCAGTCACACCTGTGCAAAATCAGCTCAAGCTCTACCAGATCAGACTGGATGGCGTGATACTTCTCTCACTTGCACTGGTGTCAGCCAGGAATAACTTCACTGACATTTCAGGAGTGCAAACTGAGAGGAGGGTCGGACCACTCACTGCACAGGGTGCGGGATTACACAAGGTGCAAGTCAGAAACAAAGCAGACCCTGAAGCCTGAGTCAGGTGCTAAGGCCTGTCTTCCCTAGAAGGAGGTACCATTTAACAATACTATACAAGCACCATTGCATGCATACCGTTATACTGAAATAACCGTACTTTCTGCAGGCAGGGAAATACCAAAAGGCCCCTTCACATCAGTATGACTGTATTCATACTAGAGGATGTACCAATATAACAATACTGATTTAGCAAAAAAATCATTAGACCAATTGCTAACAGCCAAGTGAGACCTGGCCTCCAGGCATCCCTTTCTAAAGTCTGTGTGGCTACAAAAAGACTCTTGGGCTGTCCTCTCATGACTCAGGCAAGAGCTATCAAAGCTGATATTTGGTTACCGCCCCTCCCCCCCCAGCAGATGCAGATGCAGATGCAGATGCAGGAGGGCGGGTTCTAGAATGCTAGTTGTGGAAATTCTGTAGGGAGACTTGGGTTCTTGGCATCTGCCTCTAATGGAGCCAATCTAGCTGCATGCTGCTAAATCATCCTTGTAGGGAATTACTCAGCGGGTCTTATGAGGACAATGTAAAGCTTTTAAAGTCTTTCCCCAAGCACAGGCATTGCTGGGACCCCCCAATCTTCCCTAAGCAGCAGTAATTCCAATAAGTCAGCTCACTGGACTTAAGCCACCTGAGAACCCAATGACTTAAAAGCCTTTACTTGCATTGCATTGCATAATAATAGTGCCTATGAATTGCCTGCAGAGCTCCTGACACCAGTGGTATTTTGAAGCATATAGCAGAAGGTTTCTAAAATATACAGCAAACATCTGACCTAACAATCCTGAGGTCAGAGCTATAATATTTGAAGTACTGGTTGTGATGTTGTACCTCAATATTTTTATGAAAATATATTTTTGAATATGAATAGGCATAACTCAAATATGCTTTATGCAAATTGGGACATGTAGCCTATTCTTGAAGAGCTTGTCATCCCCTGAATGTGTATATTCTATTTAGGTACATGTATCATTCTTGAATTATGAAATATAAGTCCATTCATCTATCTAGATGCACTAATGAAGGTCATTAGCAGTATTCAAGGAACTTAATGGTCCAGTGCTCAAGTAAATGATCTTGTTTTTCCTGTAAGCCTAGATTGTAGCTTATCCTAGAAAGACGTGTGACCATGCCACCTGGGGTTGGCAACCATCTTGAATTTTGCACTTTTCCCACAGGTTGGGAGAGGGGTTGAACAAAGACTTCCTACCCTGGGGAAATTTTACATAAGGAATCAGAAGCAAACAGCTTCAGATGGCTTCACAAAAACTGCTCTGCACCCAGAGAGGATACATGAAAACACCAAGAAACAAAAGAACTTCTAAAGATAAGGGTGGAGAGAAGCTGCTAGACCCAGACTCAAGGGGATCTCTGTAACCTAACCTGGCACACTGGTGACAGGGGGGGGTCTTAGACCATCCAAAGCTAAAGTACCTCTCCTCAAATCATTAAGAGAAACCATTGATCCCAGGCAACAATATGTAATTAGGGACAATGAATGGAAAAAAGCAGGAGCAGGCATAGGGTCAAAAGCTGGAAACCAAGGAGCTGGAGAGGAACACCATGCAGAAAACATCCAGCTGTGCTCAAAGGTTACCAGGAAGTTAGTGAACACTGCCAAGAGGAACTCTGCCCAAGGAGCTGATTGTACAAGTGATTGGAAACAAGCTCTCCAGTAATAGAGCACCCACCCATCCATCTTTCTTTCTCTGATATGATGGATGGCTCTCTTGGCCAGGACCAGGAGGAGGTTAAGAAGGATATCCTATGACTTTGTGGGGCCACAGATGGGAGTATGAAGAAAAGTGTAGTTAGAACCACCCCCCTGCATCGATCATCCTCACCCCTTTTCCCAAGGTATGGATGGCTCTTTTGGTCTCTTTCTCCATAAAAGGAATTAATGAACTGCCCAGGTATACTGTTGTGTTTACACCTTGATGAAGAAACTGCCAGCTAATATCCCAGGCAG